GGAAACAAGGAATATATTAGCTCTGCTCAATGTCTCCTTCCAACTTAGATATGCCCATATGCCAATGGCACACCACACCATCTTCATGATCTCTAACCATTTCAAAGACTGGCAAACTTTAGGTATTCTTTTTTTTCATCTTCTGGCACACAAACAATTGCACCCAGAAGTAAAAAGCCCAGGGAAAGAAGTATGCCAGTTTCTAAAACTGAACAGAGGCCTAGGGTGGGGTACACCTATGAAGGCTACTCAACAGTGATCAACATTCTAAGCTTGCATTAAAAAAATAAAAATATATAACAATATTATATATAATAATGTAAGTATATAATAATGCAAATATCTACTTTCTTACATCCCAAAATATCAGCCATCTAAATAAGTGACTTCTCAAAAGACTTTCCAACAGTTTATAAGTAATCACTATATTGGATTAGATAAAAATTTAAAAAATGATAGACTATTAATTTAGCAAAATGATATAAAAACTTATGCCCAATATAATCTGCTCTATAAACACTAAAAATTTGGATAATAATCAGTTTCAACCATTAATTACCATCTCCCCTGACCATAGGGAGCCTTCAAGGTTGAATGCAATTGATCAAAAAACTGTAGAGTTCAGTTAGAATACATAAGTTCAATAATTTTTTTTTCCTTCACAGCACTAGGGATCAAACGCAGGACCTTGTGCATGCCAAGTTTGTACTGTATCCTTCAGCTACATCCTCAGCCTAACAGATCATTTTTAAAGAGGAGACTATGTAATTTGTCATATGAAAGTTAAAAGCTATCACTGTTCTTAACATACAGAATTCTACCTACTATAAAAACCCAGTTTCAAAATGAATTGTCCAAAATTTCCCAAAAGTTACATGATCTTCAAAATCTCTGCCTGATTCCTCAGTTTTCTCACATAAGACTCAACTCCCAAAGGTTTGCAATTCATATTTCACCTATTATTCTTTATTATATCTTTTTGAACCAGATCTCAGTACTTTTTTAGAAAAATATCAATGTGCAAAGGAAATTTCAGTGTTATGAATAGTTCTTTTTCAATCAGAATTAATAAAACATTCTACTTTAGGAACAATCCTAAGAAAAGGTAACAACATGACTCACCCAGATCTATGTCCAATTTTCTCACAGAAGAAATTCACATCAGAAACTACACTATGTGAAGTATGCAAAATTACCGTCTAGAATTATAAATCCACTGACACTGACTTAACTAAAACTCTTTCAAAAGCAGCCAAGAAAGCAACTATCTTCCAAATGTATAGTCCCAGATATGAAGACCAAATTGTTTCACAAAATTAATCTTTACTGTTGTGAGTTAAATCAGAGTTGTACTACCCAATAAATAAAATTCACCTTCTCATCAGTTATATGGATGATCTATAAAAGATTTATAAAACAGGAGCCAGGATTGTAGCTTAGTGGTAGAGCACTTTCCTAGCATGAGTAAAGCACTGGGTTCGGTCCCTGGCACTACATTAAAAAAAAAAAAAAAGCATAAAAAAAAAGATTTATAGAACAATGGGGCCAAATCTATTTAACAATAAATCACTAAAATATGAGTAAACTGACCTTTCCATTCCCTTCCCCACATTTTGAAGAAAAACAAAACACACTTTGGAGTTATATTTCCATTCTCACACCATTAAACACCTCTCACAGGAATGCCCACCTTCCCTCCAAAAACTCTAAAGGGAGAAGCTAGTCAGATTAATAAGTAGGGACTTATATACCCTTGCCCCTGCTTCATTTAAATGAAGAAAACACCCCCTCTGGTGTCAAGAAGTGGTAGTCTAATGATAACACCTTTGTGGCAGACAAGAAAAATATTTCTAAGAAAAGCTCAAAAATGATGTGTCTTGGTGACCTGCATTAGTGATATATGAAAAGTTGCTTTTATTTCACCTTGCCTCTTCCTCCTCCAATACATTAAATTGAGATCAGTGTATTTTTCAACATTTGGGAATGTACGAATTATATTTTTTTAAAAACACAAGGCCAGAAATCTTTTCTAATCAATAAGGACCATTAAATCACATTCAGTCATTTCAATCCACAGTTAGTAAAGTGTTCAAGGATTTCACACTAATATTATTATCTGCCAAAGAAATAATATAATAGGCAAGTTTAAATAGTGTCTTTTCTTTAATCAAAATAATATATCATGAAGTCAAAAGAGAAAGGTCTGATGACTATCCATACCTACTGAATAATTAGATTTAACTCAACTGAATAGATTCACCAAAATTAAAGATAAGTGATTAGTCTCAAATTAAACATAAACAGAACATATAAGGCTCTCTGGGATTTTTCTTAGCACTTTTCTATAGGCTGAAAGGACTCAATATTCTTCTAAGTACAGAAAATATTAGATTCCAATTTTCTTACATCTTTTGATTGACCCAAACTATTACAATATTTCTTCAACTGAACTTTTCATTTGAAAATCTATCCTGGCTTAATTCAGTGGAGAATAATTATACAAGGTGGTAGAAACTTCAGGGGGCAATATAATAAGCATGACTTCCAACATAATTCTTAAGATTCAGGAAAATTCTTCTAGTTAGAGTAGCTTTAAACTACTAACATATATTAAATCAAAGATATGATAGAAAAAATGAACTATAAAAATAATTGAGCCAGGCATGGTGGTGCACATCTGTAATCCCAGTGGCTCAGGAAGCTGAGACAGGAGAATCTCAAGTTCAAAGCAGCCTCAGCAACAGTGAGGCACTAAGCAACTCAGTGAGACCCTGTCTCTAAATAAAATACAAAAATAGGGTTGAGGATGTGACTCAGTAGTCGAGTACCCCTGAGTTCAATCCCCAGTACCAAGAATAATAATAACAATAATTGAAATTCTTCCCCAAATTTAATACTCAAAAGGTTGGGGAGTACACTAAACCTCAATCAGGGCAATACCCTATTCTACCATTATATCAATATGTATTATTACAATTAAACATAGTACAACACATTTTTTCTTAATTCATACCCACACTCTCAAAAACAGGTCATTATTTAAAACTATAAATCCTACTTACTCATGAATAACTTACTATTTCAAAATGTATTTTTAAGTATAAATATGTAATCCCTTTAAAAGTAGAGGGAAATGGAATAAAATATTCAACATGATATAAGTATGACTTGAGAAAATCAAAATTATTCTAATTTGGGGGGGATAAAGGGGGTACCAGGAATTAAACTCAGGAGAACTTAACCACTGAGCCACATCCCCAGCCCTATTTTGTATTTGTTTTAGAGACAGGGTCTCACTGAGTTGCTTAAGTTGCTGAGGCTGGTTTTGAACTCGCAATCCTCCTGTTTCAGCCTCCCAATCTAAGTATTTTTTTAAAAACTTAATTTTACTCAAATTTGTAACCATAGTTACCGTTACACTATATTCTCCAGATACTCATTAACTTTCCCCAGACACACACTGACTCTACACACTGGTAATCTCAGGACATCACCTTCTTCACAAAGGTAAGTTTCAACTAACAAATGAATTAAATTGAATTAAGTTAAATAAAGCCCTCCTTGTGTGTGTGTTTTGAATAAAGGTAAAATTTTACAATAAATATATCAAACTTCTTTCTTATGTCATTTTTTTCCTTTCTTCTACAGCATATAATTAACCTTTGATATTGTAATACTTATAATTAATAGTTACCATAAATATTATCTTCATATCTATTATTTCCAAAGCATCTGATAATGGTAATAATTACTACCAGCCACAGAGTATTTATGGGCCACAGAGTGTTCAAAGTGATTAGCATATTAACTTAATCTTCTGTGAAGTAGGGATTATTATTCTCATATTTAAAATGTGGAAACTGAGCTAAGGATAGGCTGTGATATCCTCAGGCACATTTGGCTAATGACTGGTAGAGCTGGAAGATGAATCAGTCACAATGGGAAGGCACCACATATCCTCTGAGGGACCAAACTACAATAGAACTGATGCCCACCTACCTTGACTACATAGTCATTTGCCTTGACTGCATTAGTATCAAGTTGAAAATGTTAAAAGAGATTAAAATTTACAAAGCAATGATCAAAAGTATGATTCCACAGTTAAGGGGAAGAATATACAGATAACACAGCTTAATTTATTTAACTTAATAACTTTTAGTAATTTTAGCAATTTTCACAAGGAAGGCATTTATTTGAACAATTCCCTGGGCTACAGTCCATTCAGTTTAGGAATGTCTTCTTTAACTACTGTCTCCGCCCTCATATTCATTATTGTTTTTACCTTCATGTCTTAATTTTATTTCTCAAGTGGTCTTCTTATCCAGAAAAAAAAAAAAATATCAAAAATAATCCTGACTGACACAAACCTATCTTCTACAAGTCTTGAGTTTTCTGAAGGTGTCAGTAGTCCCTGTACATACTCATCAAAGTTCCAGATTAGGAGAAATGAGACACCCTCACTCTGGAATACAAAAAATTACAGCAAACTTGAGAGCCTCACCACTCAGTTCCTTGATGTCTGCGGTAAACTGGCGAAAAACCTAAAAATCACACTATAACAAAAGCACTTCACAGTACATATCGATATATCAGGGTATATATCTTTATGCGCATGGTGAAACTTGCTCTTCCACTTCAGACACTTTCAGGGTGGTTAGAGTTTTTCATTTTTTAAACATATATCACTTTGAGGGAGTCAACTTTAAGAATTTTCCCACTGAGAATACTGAAAAAATTTACACATCCAGTCACCATCAACTTTTGTTCTCATGAATCTATAAAAATGAGAAATAAAGGAATTAACCAACTTTTTATTACTCAGAAAAGTCCCCAATAAAAAAACCTAACAATATCACAATCTTTTCATAACTTCATTAATACTGTTTGGAAGCACCAGTTATGTAACTTGGTTGACTAACTGAGCAATTTCATGCCATTTGAGAACAAAAACATAAACTCACAAATATTTTAAATAAAATATAAGCAGAGAAAAGCAATACCTCAAGTTCCACCAGAGCTGCAGTCACTGCATCTGTGGCCAGAGCACCAGCCTGTAGTTTTTCAATGGCCTGAAACCAAGGGGACAAATAATTCATTGTAAAACCACAACTTCTCAAAGATCTCTTTAACTTTATAAAGGTTTAAAAGAAGTATAAGAGTTGTTCAGAGTTAAAAATTGAACACTGGGCTGGAGATATAGTTCAGTTGGTAGAGTGCTTGCCTCGCATGCACAAGGCCCTGTGTTCAATCCCTAGCACCAAAAAAAAAAAAGCACTTGAACACTAAATAAATTCCATACTTCGATATATAAAATATTCAGATTTAAAACAGGTAGTGGTTATGTTCAGATTAATTTCTGATATAGCTCACTTATCCAAATTAAAACAATGAATAAAGTACAGCCACAAAATGTTAAGATGCAAGAAATTTAGTAAGTGAAATTACTTCACTCATGATAAGACAATTTAAAACAGCCACAGAAATTATGTGAATGTAGTTTGGTTAAAATATCCTGACAATTCATATTTTATATAAGTAACTGAATCTCAGACTAAGCTAATAATTTTCAATTTTACCTCCCACTGTTACTATTCTTCCCACCCACATCCATTAAAAAAAAGAAGTGTCTCAATCCCAGCAGCAGCATGTCAAAATCCTCAGAGGGAAGTATACACTTGACAAATATTTTTAATACTATATTTTATACCAAAATAATTTTTTTGCAGTACTGGAGCAACCAGGGGTGCTCTACCAGTAAATTACAACCCCAGACCTTTCATTTTATTTTTGAGACAGAAACTTGCAATTTTCCTGCCTCAGCCTCCTAAGAAGCTGGGCTACAGGAATGTGCCAATGAGAGCAGCATCACTTTTATAAACTACAGAGAGTAAAAATTTGTAAAAATCACCCGCTTTCTTGGCCATAAATTAAGAGAAGAAGGAGAATGAAGGGAAGCTAGTTTCTAAATGAAATACTAACATTCCAACTTAGTTTACAAACAGCTCAAGAAATATATTCCACATTATCAAATTTTTAAGAAGCTAGTTAATTATATAGATCAAGGAGGTTGATTATACAGCCCAAATGAATTAGATTTTTTTAGAACTATAGTTGTATAAAAATAAAACATTCTTTTCAGACAATTAAAAGATTTCACACTTTGAAAAATAAGAAAAAATATAAAACTTAGAGACCCATTAGCCATATTATTGTAAAGAAATAAAATTATTATAATAAAATAGTCTTATTTCCTTATGGGATTCCATTCCTAAGAAAAATATCTCTAAACCAGGAGTGATGGCACATGCCTGTAATTCTAGTGACTCAGGAAGCTGAGGCAGGAGGATCACATGTTTGAGGTTAGCCTCAGCAACGTAGCAAGACCCTAAGGAATTATGGAGACCCTGTCTCAAAATAAAATAAATAAAACAAACAAGCTAAATTTCCTCTTAAAAAAAAAAAAAAAGAAAAAAGATATCTAATAAAGCATTATCTTTCTTTTAAATGATATGTAAATATAAGTAAAAGAGATAAAAATAAAATTATTGCCCTAATTATACAGAGACCTATGTTGACTTGATATGCATATCCAATTAACATTTTATTTGCATAAAAAAAACTAACAGAAAGTTTGCCTACAATAGTATGCAGGCAGGATCAATATAAAAATAAACAATATTTCTTTTGAGGCCATTCCTGCTTCCATATTAAGCAAAGCAATTCAGCAAAACCTTAAAAATCAAAGCGGAAAAAAGCACAACCAAGTACAAGGGTAAAGCTATACTCAGGAATAAACCAATGAATTTGCTACCATATAACTACATGATGAAAAGCAGAAGGATAAAGTAACAAGATAATCTAAGAAAGTACCCATTTTAATTTTTTTATGATTTTTTTTCTCCCCTTCATGGAAAGACATTGGCTTCTTTTAAGCAGTATTTTCTATCCCTTCTATCAGGGTATTTTGCCTTGCAAAGATTAAAAGAAATATGATTATGTGCTCACAGTTCCAAAAGTATAGATTAATCTGGAAAAGGAGGTAAAAGAGCTAAGCATCATTCAGAGAATTTAAAAAAAAAAAAAAGCAAAAGAAGACCCTACAAATATGAGCAAAATAATTTCATGGTCCAAACCAAAAAATGTCCTGTAAATGAAACCTGAAATCTTTGATAAAGGTAAAACGACTTTAATGTTCAAAATGGAAATTTTTAAATTATACATATTCTGTTCATACCTTCTGACAAGCTCGTTTGCATACATGTTTATATTCCTTGGCTTTGGATTCAGAATGATAACCTGCACCTATAATAGCAAAAGAAAAATTTTGTTAGTTTTCATTCAACTATCAGAGACCTTGACTATATAAGTAGTCCATACAGACTGATTCAGTCCCAGTGAAAATAAAATTATTGCCCTAATTATACAGAATTTTAAAATTTTAATAGCTTCTTTCTCCAACATCAATTTTTAATACTGTGTCTTTTATCTTTATTCAAAATGTCTTCCTGACAGAAGCCCTAGAGACATCTCATGTTCCCAAATAACCTTCATCAAGGTTACTTCCCCTCTTCCTTTCAAGAACCTCTCTCCAAAGTTGGGAGTTCTTTTGGTCTGGAGTTGTTAGCTTGGGAGGTGTCAGGAACAGTCTCTTCAAAGTTATCTCTATTGACCTTAAGAAAGCCCTGCCATTTGTTCAGAATATATAATTCTTAAGAATAACTTCATAAAGCTAGGTAGTTTCTGGGGGAAAAGAAATATCTGTCTAAGGGGTCTTACTTCCCACATGTCTACAATCACCACCAATACCACCACTCCCACCCATTTTACTTCCTCTCACAGCCTAGAATATAGTTCAGAATATCTCTAAAACCTCAGTGATGGCACATTCATGACTATCTATGAGAAATCCTGGTGACCCAGGAACTCAGTCAAGAGAATGGCTGTGAATAAATTTGTTTCCCTAAGAAGATTCATACTTGCTTTGTGCCTTGAAAATAATCCAAACAAGAAAGAAAAAGCCCTTAAATCCTCTTAATAACTAGGCTTCTAATCAAAGTTCTTTAAAAAAGCACAGAACCACAATCAATCTCTCTGGGCTCGCTGAGGAGCAGCTGTCTCCAAGGCTGCCTCGCGCTCTTTTTCTACTTCCCTCCATGTGCCCTGGCGACGCTGCTAGGGCCCGGGTCTTTGGAAGTAATGGAAGCACCTCTCAACCTGGCTCATCAGCAGAGCAGACGAGCAGACCGTTTATTAGCTGCAGGGAAATACGAAGAGGCTATTTCTTGTCACAAGAAGGCTGCGGCATATCTTTCTGATGCTATGAAGCTGACTAAGTCTGAGAAGAATCATCTTTTGGACTCCCTGGATGCCCATATCATCTCTCCTTGAGTCTTCTGATGTCTCCTTCAAACTCCTTATGAGAAGTTATCAGTCTGTGAGAAGCAGGTGTTACATGAGAAGAGAAAAAAGCTTGCTCTAAAACTTTCTGGACTAGTTCAGAATTTCACTAGAAAAATGTGAACTACTTGAAAAAGTTAGCCTTGTTCAAAAACAGAATGAAGGCTTAGAGTCATCTTTAAAGGATGCTATTTTGGAGAAGGAGTCAATAGAAACGGAAAATTTGGAGGCAATAAATAAAAATCTGAATAGGTCCATATCTAAACTTGAGGATGAAATACTCCTTCTAAAAAAAGACCTAAAAGAAGAGAAAACTAAACATTATCAACAGGATGAATTGATGGTGAATATAGCAAAAGGATTAAGTTCTTAGAAGATGAATAAAAATCCTTCAAATCACAAATACCAGAAGCTAAAACAACCTTGAGACTATTTCAAATTAATGAGGAAGGATTTAAGGTAGCAATAAAAGAGGTTTTGAAAGAAAATTGCCAACTTCAGGAAAGTCAGAAACAGCTTTTATATGAAGCTGAAGTATAGAAAGAAAAAGTAAATGGCCTTAATAAACAGAAAACAACACTTGAAGACTCCAAAGTACATGCAGAACAAGTTGTAAAGAGATAAAGAAAATCACATTAATTTTCTGACTGAACATTTGCTGCAGATGAAAGATTGGGCTTCTGTGCTTGGAGAAGTCCTAAGAGATGATGGAAATGTGGAATTGGAAATGAATAGTGTTGTTGCTCACTTAGAGGATCAGCCAAAAGGAGATTTGAAAGAATGGTTTTATGTTGCTAAGTTAAATGCCTCTTTCAAAACCTTACAAGGAGAAAAAAATCAAATGTTTACTTTATTTTCTGAATTAAATGAAATAAAGGAAGACCTTATAGATTATATTAAAAATCTTGACAGGACAAGCATCTTTGCAGTCAAAAAATACACAATTTAAAAGTGAGAATCAGAATCTTCAGCAGAAACTTAATGTCATGATTGAACTATATCAAGAAAATAATATAAGTAAACCCCAAAGAAATTAATAGGAGAGAAAAATTACAAGGTAGAGCTAGAAGAGAAACGTTCCAAAATGGTGGAAAACATCAGCCATGCAAGTGAACAACTGGAGACTTATAGAAAGCAAGTCAAAGACCTTGAAGAAGAATTAGAGAGAACCATTCATTCTTATCATGGGCCCATTATGTACTATGAGAAAAATGCACATAATAAAATGTTGGTAGCTCAGAGTGCTGAAAGATACCTCAATGATTTAAGGAAGCAAAATGCTCATGAAAGACAAAAATTAACGGAAAATGAGTTTAAATTTAAAATTGTAGAAAACAATCCTTCTGCACTTGATGATTCAAATACAGTCTTTGGCAGAGAGAATTCCCCAAATGGTCCCTCAACATTGGGTTAACCTTCATCTGAGATGAAAGCTCCAATTTTGGAAAAGAAGGGTCCACTCAGACACTCACCTTTGCTTCCAAGGGTAGGAGAAAGAGACTCAAGAGGCCCAGAGAATCCTCTGGGCCCTCAGATTATCAATGAAAGAAGAGAATCAGTCTATGATGGGATAACTGATCCTCAGAGAGTGTCTTATAACATTGAACCCCTGTCACCTCCAAGGGAATAGAACCCTAAGATGATGATGGCTCCACCAGTCCAATCATATTCTGATCCACATCTTCCTCTACCAAGGCAAGATGGATGTTATTTTAATTATGGTGGACCATCTGGACCAGCAGAACCCAGAAGTTCTACTATGCTGCCTTTGGATAAAATGGATGGGCCTCTGTCTTCAGAAATGGAATCCAGTAGAAATGATACAAAAGTTGATCTTGGTAATTCCCATGTGCCTGATTCATCTCTCCCTACTGAAAATGAAGCAACTGGCTCTGGCTTTGCTTTCTCACCTTTCCCTCTAATCAGAGGTCCATTGTTTCCAATGGATCCAAGAAGTCAGTTCATGAGAAGAGGACCTTTTTTTTCTCCATCTCCTCCAGGAAACATATATGGAAAATCTTGAGAATGTTTTCCACCAGGTCCACCGCTCCCTCCATTCCCAATGGGACTGTGGTGTTTTCTTCATTATCTCCCCCCAAGAGCTGAATTTCCCCTCCTTCCTCCCCCGCATTCTGAAAGTAGAAGTGACTTCCCTTCAGGGTTGATTCCACCTTCAAATGAGCCTGCTACTGAACATACAGAGCACAACAAGAATTCTGACAATATTTTTATCTGCCTTCAAAAGTAATATATCCCTCATTTTTAGTTTAACTAACTGCTTTTACACAAGTGATTATACTTTTGCTCCAATTGTAGCTTAATGGAATTACAATTCTTAGAATAGTATTTTATAAATAAAGATGGTTTAAATATGAAAAAATAAATAAAAATAAAAATAAAAAAGCACAGAACCATCTGACCTTCCCCCACAACACCCCGTAGAATTCCGCCCTAAGGAAGGTTAAGATCTACATCCCTAAGCCTCAAGACTCCCCCTTTAAGTCTGCCACAAACCTAACCCACCTTCTTGCAAAGCCAAGAACTGGCCCACAAAACAATGCTCAAGCAACCAGATTCCATATTGTATCCAAATAGTAATTCTGTTTCTCAAAAGAAGTCTGGAATGTTCACAGAACCTGTGCCAATATTTAATAAAATTCCCTTCATGGTTCTCTAAGAACCATGAACCTATAGTAGAAAAATAAAAGCCAACTGTTAGCTTCATTAAACTATCAGAGCCCTTGCTTATAAGTAGTCCAAGTAAACTGATACAGCCTCTATAATAGGAACAAGTCATCCCAGGTCTATTCTGAGACCTGAAGCCCTAGTCTTTTATCAATGTTTTCTAAGCCACAGGATATTATAGCCAGGTAAATCTAGTGTACAGATGACAGCATTAAATAGTACTAACATGTAAATTCTTCTGCTTAGAACGCGAGGAAGTCTCAGCATCACCCCACACTATATTTAATATCTGGCACTTCCTAACTTCCCTGTTTAATAAAGGAAAGAAAGGATCAGGATCCAAACCACTGCCACACAATAAGATATAGTTAAAATTTAACTATACTGATTGTTACTCTGTATTCAAAGTTATTTTTCTCTTAATCGCAAATGATACTGATATTTTATTGAAGTAAATATAAGTTTCATCTTTATAAGTTTCATCTTTCAATTTTTACAAGTAAAAGTGTTTCTACTGGTTTCTTCAAAATTAGATGGGCCATTATGGATAGTACACAGATCTGGGAAAAATTAAGAATCTACTAGTCAAATGAAAAAAATTTGGCCAAGTCTACTCTGTTGTTAAAAAAAGAAAAAAAACAGTCAGGCGCAGTGGTGCATGCCTGTAATCCCAGCAGCTTGGGAGGCTGAAACAGGAGAGCCAGGAGTTCAAAGCCAGCCTCAGCCACTGCAAGGCAAAAAACAACTCAATGAGACCCTGTCTCTAAAGAAAATACAAAATAGGGCTGGGGATGTGGCTCAGTGGTCGAATATCCCTGAGTTCAATCCCCCATACCAGGAAGGAAGGAAGGGAGGAAGGGAGAGAGGGAAGGGAGGGAAGGGAGGGAAGGAAGGGAAGGAAGGGAGGGAAGGAAGGAAGGAAGGAAGGAAGGAAGGAAGGAAGGAAGGAAGGAAGGAAGGAAGGAAGAAAGAAACAGCTCTGTCCTAGATGAGAATTTGAATTTCCATTCCTTAAATATACAAGATACAAACTTCCACATAATCAGCCAATTGATCTGAATTTGTAATAATTCAGAAGTGGGGATCATCCTTAAACAACACAATTCCCTGCCATAATCCAGATTTCTTCCTATTACTACTGGCCTTCAGCACCAACTTTACCTGATAGCCATCACAATCAATTATGCACTTGAGAGAGGAGGAATGGAGTCATGGTAGTCACAGAAAGCAATGTTTTACAAATAATCAAAAGCTCTATGCTACTGTTTGTTATGAGTTTCAGCCCTTTCTTGTGCATTTCCAAATGCTCATTCTGAACACAATAACTCACTGAGTACTACAGAAGGTACACCAATAAAACAGTGCAGTAGAAATAACACTGGACTATGAATCTGAAGGCAGAACTTCTGGCCCGTGCTCTACTTTTAACTGGGAAATTCCTATAAACTTACCTCATCTCTTTGGAAAAGCACCTTTCAGAAAAGGGAATTGAACCTGTTATATTTTTTAGACCCTTCTGGATTAGATTCTGTAGGATTTTCCAAGCTGTCCAGTCTATATATAGCCAAAGGTTAATGAGCAGACAAGATACCAGTTTCATAAAAAGAAAGCTAGAAAGAAATCCTGCCAGCTCTTCTTTCCTCACAGATATTATACAGTTTATAATCTGAATGCAGAAAAACAAATATAACTTAAGAATAAAGAGCCTGCTGAAGGGCTGGGGATATAGCTCAAATGGTAGAGTGATTGCCTAGCTTGCACAAGGCCCTTGGTTCATTCCCCAGCACCACCAAAAAAAAAGAAAGAAAGAGAAAAGAAGAGCCTGCTGAGTAAACTTGGACAGATTTTCACCTTTAAAATGGAGGACACAGGAGTTAAACTTCACTGTGTCAGCCCTCAAGGTCCTCTGAAGTAGAGAGAGCATAGGCTGATGCAGTGCCAAAGTCACTTAAGGGTTTCTCAGCCTAGCTCTGTTATTAATCAGCAAAGTGACAGAAACCACTTAAGTCACTTAATTTCTCTAGTCTTAAGGTTCCTCATTTATAACACCAAGAAAGTAAAATATGCCACCCTAAAATATACTTGTTTATCATATTTTAAGATGGATATTCAGAGTGGGTACAGACACTCTGAAAAGCTGTTCTATGAGGGATATTTGTATTTCTAGAGAACATCTATATTACTGAAGTGAGCAGGCTTTCTCTCAAGTCTCCTTATCTGCCTCACCCGGATCTAGGAGAGATCATATCAAATTATCACTGCGCAGAGAATGGCACAGCATATCACATATACTTCAGATGACTGTTACATGGGAAACTTTATTTACAGAATAAGACATTTGTCCATAGTACATTTCATAACCTATCCTGACCTCCCCTCAGAAGCCTCAAGTCCCTATTCCTCTCCATAGTTCAAAGTGCTACTGAAGCTTCAACCATCTGTCCATTTCTTTCCATCCCATAGTTTGTCTATAGTGCATATCTGCAGGTTAATAAATGTTATAGTTTTTCTCCTCTTGATGTTTCTATTGTCAGTTCATTTCATAGATGAAAATTACTGAATCTTCAGAGGAAAGAGAAAATTGAAAACTTCCCTAGGAAGCTGAACTAATTCTAAGATGGTGTATTTTACTCTAAGATGACCGTACTGCAATATGGGTCAATAAAACATTTTCTGCAACATTATTTTAAAAAAATCAAAACCAGAGTTTAAAAATTACATTGGTTTTAACATTATCTAATCTAAATATATCTATTATCTGGGGTAAAAGTAATAATAAGGGAAAGGAGTGAAAATTTGTCATTATAAGATCTTCCAACTGGGGAATAGAGGAACTTCTCACTATATTGAAGTCAAACAGTCTCTTTGGTTCCAACTCCCCTCTGTCAGATGAAATGCAATTATCAGTGTAACTCAAAGCAAGAAAAGAAAATCAACACTATTTTCATCTTCCCACTTACCCATGAAGGTCTTACCTGCATGTACCAACACAAAGCCTCCACGTTTCTCCTTGTGGGACTGCTTTGTTTCCAATTCTTTGGCTGTTATTTTAACAGCTGAAGTCTGAGATGATCTGGAAGGCAGCCCTTCTCCAGAACTCATCCCCTTCTCCATGGTCATTCTCCAACATTAACATCTTCTATTAGGAAAAGGGCATAATTCTATCCAAAAGCAATTGTAGGAGATGAATTACCCTAGAGAAAAAAACAGGCACAAATGGTATGATTTCCTTCCACTAATATGTACATTACTTAGAAAAATCCAGAAAATATAATTTTTTAAAAAACTATTTTTAAAGTTATTTAATTGGGTAACACAATGATTATGAAAAGGTTAAAATTTAAATCTCTGCCCATTTACAGAATTTACTTAAAGACATATAAATGAAAGAACTATTATAAAAAGACTTTACGCTGAGTCCAAAGATATATTATCTTTCTTTTAGCCACACTGAAGTAATCCTCAATATAATTTAAATGTCATTTTCTCCTTTCTCCAAATCCAATATTAATAATCACTGGGACATTTTGGAATCACAGTGCTGCTGACAACATCACTGAATCTTGCTATAAAGCCTAGATTTCTGCTTAAAGAAATAAAACAAAAGAAAAGAAAGAAACTTACATGTAAGAAATTCTTAAGCTAACCAATTTAATGCTCCACAGCTTAATTCTAAAACACAAATGTTAACAAAATTATATGATTAAACCAAGAAATTAAAATAACATTTCTGCAAGTATCACGTAAAATATTATTTCTGAGGCTCTCCAGAGATAAATGAGACATAAAATTTAATAAAACAATTTTCAAGCAACTTATGCCACAAAGCTTCTAATTTTTCTCACTATGCATTGCAAATTCACAAACTTTGAACAATCCTGACTTAACAACAAGGGAAGAACATATTTCAATTTAAGGGAAAAAATTAAAAATCAACAATGAGAATTTTTTAAATTGCACTGTTAGGTAAAAATCTGCACCTGACGTTAAACTGAAAAAGGGAGGTGAAGATTATGAAGCTAACTTTATAACAATGTTTTTCTTTGAATGAATTCACAAAAATATGCCTCCATTATCTTTTTTTTTTTTTTTTTTTTTTTAGTAATGGTTCTGGGGATCAGACCCAGGGCCTTGTGTGTGCAAGGTAAGCACTCTACCAACTGAGCTATATCCTCAGCCCCTTCAATTATCTTTTTTTTAAAAAAGAGGTGAAGTGGGGCTGGGGATGTGGCTCAAGCGGTAGCACACTCGCCTGGCATGCGCGGCACTGGGTTCGATCCTCAGCACCACATACAAATAAAGATGTTGTGTCCACCGAAAACTAAAAAAATAAATATTAAAAAATTCTCTCTCTCTCTTTAAAAAAAAAAAAAAAAAAGATGTGAAGTCTTTCTTTTTCAGTGTAAAACGTAAATAGAAACATAAAAGTAACTTTGCTACCCAGTCCAAACAAGCAGCTACTACTCAAAGCACATTCTGTATCCCATTGTTAGTTACCAGAGCACATGAGATTATTTCATTAATATATTCACTACTGTAAACAGATATTTTCAATAAGAAATGTGTACAGTTTTCACAATGCTCTTCCTTCATATTAAAATTATATTTTTGAACAATTTTATTTGCGAAATCTAACAAAAATTTTGAGCTTTTTTTTATCTTTCATGTTTTCATATTTCAATTTGTCTTAGTTTTTTAATATTCCAGCAGTATTAATAAACAACAGACTGAAATTTTTTTAAGTTGGTCGTTTATACTAGAAATAGTCTGAGAAGCACTGCAATATGGTATTTTAAATTATTTTAATTCCTGGTTAAAGAGTTCATTTAGTATTTATTTTATATTTCACTTATAAGACAAATAGTTTAAAATCAAATATATGTATACACACACTGAAATGTTAAAATATTTAAATATATTCAAAGCACAGGAAAAAATTTTATTTCAAGTGGAGCTTTCAATTAACAGTAAATTAAAATGCCTATTTTTATTTCTGTTTGTGGTAGTAGCTATCTTCATAACAATGTTTTTCTTTGAATGACTTCACAAAAATATGCTTTAATCATCTTTTTTTTAAAGAGAAAGAGAAAGAGATAGAGATAGAGAGAGAGAGAATCTTTTTTGTAGATGGACACAACACAATGCCTTTATTTTTATGTGGTGCTAAGAATCGAACCCGGGTCCCGCTCGTGCTAGGCGAGCGCTCTACCGCTGAGCCACAATCCCAACCCTTTTTTTTTTTAATTTTTTTTAGTTGTTAAAAGACGTTTATTTAATTTATTTATTTGTATGTGCTGCTGAGAATTGAACCCAGTACCTCACACACACCAGGCAAGGCTCTACCACTGAGCCACAGCCTCAGCCCCTCAATTACCTTTTTATTATTATTTTACTTTACTTCTTACAATATTTCTCTGAGATAGGCTACCATTTGACATGTAGCAGTTGACAAACTGGAATTTAGTGGTCCATCTGTCAACATATAAATGCCATCATGTCTGGCCTGGCTATGAAATGAACTTGGGCCCACTGGAATTAAAAACATAAACACTTCTGAGTGAAACTAAGATCTTGGAAAACTAAGAGCTTCAGATTAAATAAAAACACATCCAGGAAGAATGAATTATTATTAACCCTCAAGCTACTCTCACTGTTATCTAATGTATTATTTCACCACTAACAAATTATAACATTTACAATTTATAATGAATATGGAAATATAGTAATAAATTATAACATCTACATTTCCTAATAAGGTTAAAAGTAATAGGCATTTAAATGAATGAGAGATTTTTAAATATTGCTTCTCAAGGTTGCCTAAAGAGAAAAGGCAGAAGATGAACCAATATGCTATTTCATGAGCAATTTAACCTCCCTCAGAGACTATCTGAAATATATTTATTCAACAAATGATATAATCTCAACAAACCCCTTCACAAATGCCACCCCCAAACTTCTACTGGACTGAAAAATAAGGAACTCGAGTGAATGTACTATCCAATGTGCAATTCTGGCCTCCAATTCTCAATGATTCCTGAAATGTATTTTAATTCAGTTAGAAATGAAGCAACTTCAACTCCAACATCAGTTTTTGTTTAACTCAGAACTCATTAAAGATCTGATAAATAGTTTCTAGAAATGACAAAAAGAAAATTTAAAAGGGCAAATGGTCAATCTTAGTTTACAGGAAAATTATATAATGGTTTAAACCAAAAGAAAGATACAAATAAAAAGAACTACACTAAAATACCATTTTTTACTTAGATTGGCAAACCTCAAAATACAAGATAACAGGTTTTGAGAGAACAAAGAAATAAAGCATTCATAAATTGCTAGAGGCAGCAAAAACTGGTACAACTCAATATGGGCAATTTGGCAAAATTAAGATATGAACCAAAAATATGTCTTGATGAAAATGGATAAGGGGCTAGAGCGCTTGCCTCTTATGTGTGAGGCACTGAGTTCAATTCCCAGCACCTCATATAAATAAGCAAATAAAATAAAGGTCCATCAACAACTAAAAAATATTTTAAAAAGAAAAGAAAGTGGTTAAAAATAAAAGCAACCACTGGAAAGAATGAGGAAGTACTTGATACAGATATGAAAATCTCAAAGACATTTGGTAAATTTAAAAAGGCATGGAAATAATTCAAATTAAATTGTTTCAAAGACATGCTACAGAAGTATATGCGGTGCCATGTGGAGGGGGGAAGCACATCAGCTAACTATATATGCAACGTATAAATATTGATGGGTATACCAAATATATAAATTATATATGTACATGTACATATTTCTTTATTTATGAATGGTTATCTTTTAAGGTTTTTATTTTTTAAAAAAGTAAATGACAGCAAAGTGCATTACAATTCTTATTACACATATACAGCACAATTTTTCATATCTCTGGTTGTATATAAAGTATGTTGACACCAATTCATGACTTCATACATGTACTTTAAATAATGATGTCCATCACATTCCACCATCCTTGCTAATCCCTTGCCCCCTCCTTTTCCCTCCTTATGAATTGTTATCAGAAGGAGATGTCAGTGACCAATGAACAAAAGCAGGATGGAAATTTCACTGTTCATCCTTTTATATCTTTTGAACTTGGCCCATCTGAATGTGCTACTTACAAAAAAATTGTATTTTCATGGAAACACTAATTAATGAACTAAGTCCAACATCCAAAATAGGGCAAGCCTATAAGATCCCACTTAAAAAATGCAGTAAAAAGGGAAATACCACATTCATAAGCCTCTTATCCTACCTAAGAAATACACAAAAACATGCCCAAAGATTCTCAAAGGGTCTTCTGTTGTTGTTGTTGTTTTGTTTTGTTTTGTTTTGTTTTCTGGATCTTTAACTTATAGGACACATAAACTACTGATAAGTCAAACTGGAGGGGAGGTGGGATCACATTATTTAATCTCTACAGTTAAGATTAGATAGTAAATAATAATATAATGACAGTAGATTAACATTAAATATCCCTGTATAGTTTTTATCATATTTATAAATATTATTAGGAATCATTATTTGAAACTGCTGCAGCATACTTACACCAACACATTGACCTACAAGAAAGACATCTAACACTTTTAGGTAACACTCAAAATAGAAGGTTTCCAATGAAAGGAAATCAAAAATAGTTGATAGTTTTGTGAAACAAAAAACAATATAGGAGTTGGGGGTTTAGCTCAGTGGTAGAGCCCTTGCCAAGCATGCAAGCCCCTGAATTTGATCCTCAGAACCACACACACACACACACACACATACAAAAAAAAAATCTATAGACCATTTTTATAATCCCTTCATTTCTGAATAATATGTTTGAATATGGAATTTTCTCAATTTACTACAAGCAATGCAGTAAAATTCATTATGATTATTATCATTTCTAAACACTGGCAGCTTGTCCATAAACCACAATAATTACTCAAAAGTTAAATATAAAGGTTTCATATGATCCAGAAAATTCCATTTTTAGGTACATACTCAGAACTGAAAACAGATATCCACCCACAAAAACTTGTACCTGGATATTTACAGAATTATTCAAAGTAGCCCCCCAAAAATGAAAAACTCAAATATCCATCAAAAGACCATGTGTTTGGGGTGGGGGACTAGTAGATTCATAGAATGGAACATTTTTCACCTGTAAAAAGGAAAGAAATGTTGATACATAACCACCACAATGTGAATGGGCACTGGAAACACTGAAAGAGGTGAGACACAAAAGGCCACCTACTATATGGTCCCATTTATATGAAATATCCAGAAGAAGCAAATCTAAAAAAACAGAAAATAGATCAGTTGCTTGGGAATGGAGGGATCAAGGGGAAATGGAAGTGACTGCTAATGAGTGCAAAGTTTCTTTTTGTACTAATAAGAAATGTTCAAAAATTGGGGTGATGATGACTGTACAACTCTGTGAATACACTAAAGATCACTGAATTGTACAACTTAAATGACTAAGTTGTCAGATAAATTATATCTTAATAAAGCTATTTATAAAAAAGCAAACTTCTTGCTCCTCATAAATTACATCTTTTCCAAATTACTAAACCCAGTCACCCTTTTCTTAATCTTCTGCTTGCAACCTTCAATTCTCTAGATCACCTGCTCTCCTTTGGCAAGCATATCAATCTACTAAACTAGCTCTCTATGATCCCTCTGACTTCATTCTCAAATGTCTCCTTTAGAAATTTTATCTACTGGGGGGAATTTCAAAAATATCCTCTCAGCAAGTCAGATAATTCCTAACACTTTTTTTTTTTTTCCTGGACAGCTCAAACTTGACTTTCCTTGTTCTCCTCCCCATAAATATCTAGTCTTTTTACCACATTATTCTATTTTTCTTACTAGCATTACCCTTTCCTAACTCACCTTAAAGTCCTCTGGGGTCTGGGAGTGTAGAGCACTTGCCTAGTATAAACAAGTTAGTTCCTGGGTGGATGCCCCAGCACTAAAAAAAAAAAAAAAAAAAAAAAAAAAAAAATCCCTTAAAGTCATTTTGGACTCTACCCAAGTTTTCAAATCCTATAGGCTTCCTCCAGCATTTTTCTTATCTTGACCCTTATTTAGCCTATACACTTTTTAGCATAATTTTTCCAACAACATTTGTACTTTTCTTCCCAAATACAAGCTATCATAAAGCAACTATGTATAAAAGGCTGCCAAAATAAATCTCATAAAGGATAATTCCAATTAAAACAAATACCATGCCAAAAGACATGAGTAGACATTATATAAAAGAGGCAATATAAACTGGATATTCAATATTTAAGAAACAATATTCAAAGAAATACTAACTCTGTACTGGCAGGATGAACTAATGTAACCATTTGAAAAGGAATTTGTCAGTAAGTAGCAAGAGCCTTAAAATGTATAATATTGTATATACTATCTTTCCAGAGATACTCTATATACGAACTAGTCTATACAGACACAGTTAATAAGGAAAATTAGGAGACTGAGGAGCAAGGATGAAGGGGAAAGTTGATTTTCTAATAATGTTTTGCATTTGAATATTTTGCTCAGTATTAACTAACTACTGAATAGAGACTATTTAACTTTGACATCTCTGAGACCAAGATAAATGTTAATTAACTTGAACATCAAGGCCAGGAAATAAAATCAGAATAAAACATTGTTTTGTTTTTGTTTTTTTAACTCCAGAGACCTACATGGCAATACTTTAAGGTTTAAATCTTGACCTCATGTCTCTCAATGGTTTATTATTTTCCTAATGCATGTGATAACACCTTTTTCTTTAAACCATTTAGAAAACTACCAAGTCATGTTAGTTTGGAGTTCAGGTTTTTCACTCTAGCTGTGTTTAGTCTTTCAGAAGTGGTCTAAGGAGGAAGGAAGTCATCTCACAGCAGAAAGCTTTTACAGAAATTCAACCCTTAAACCATTTCAACTGATGAATAAGGAACCTAGTCTTGTTGATTTTAATCTCCTGTCAATGCAGGTTTAATGCCTCATTAAATGAGCTCCAGAACATCTCTGACCCATTAATTCCACTTCTGAGAATATTTTCTACCAAAATTTTAAACACAGAAAGGATTTTAAGTCTTCTATGCTGTGTTTAACATAGAATACAGATTTTTTTTTTTTTTTTTAAATCTGGGAGCAACCTAAAAATTCAACACAGAGTTATGGTTAAAACAATGACTCATACATTTATGGCCAATTAATTTTCAACAATGGGGCTATGATATTTGATAGAAAATGGCACTCTTTTCAACAAATGCTGTTGGGGAAACTAGATAGCCACCAGCAAAAGAATGACCTTCTTAAAAAAATATTTTTAAAAAGATTGTAGATGGACACAGTACCTTTATTTCATTCATTTGTTTTTATGTGGTGCTGAGGATTGAACCCAGTGCCTTACATGTGCTAGGCAAGTGCTTTACCACTGAGCAACAATCCCAGGCCCAAAAGAATGATCTTGATAACTAAATTATTTAAATTTAAAAAGAGGGCTGAGGGGCTGGGATTGTTGCTCAGTGGTAGAGCCTCACCTAGCACGGGCGGGGCCAGGTTCAATCCTCAGCATCACATTAAAATAAAGGCATTGTGTTGTGTCCATCTACAAAAAAGATTCTCTCTCTCTCTCTCTCTCTCTCTCTCTCTCTCTCTCTCTCTCTTTCTCTAAAAGAAAAAAAAAAAAAAAAAAGAGGGCTGGGGTAGTGACTCAGCGGTAGAGTATTTGTCTCCCACATGTGAGGCACTGTTCAATCCTCAGCACCACGTAAAAATAAATAAACAAAATAAAGGTATTGATTTCATTTACAACTAAACAAAATATTTTTAAAAAAATAAATTAATTAAAAAAGAATAAACTTTTTTAATTCCTATTTCATATTATATACCAAAATTAATTAGAAATGGATCAAAATCTAAACATGAATGAAGAGATATAAAATTAATTCTTAGAAGGATACACAGGGGTAAATATTTGTGACCCTGGATTTAGCAATTATTTAATAGATATGACACCAAAACCACAAGCAACCAAAGAGACAAAAATATGTAAATTGGACTTCACCAAACTTTAAACTTCTGTACTTCAAAGGATACTATCTGAAAAGTGAAAAGATAGTCCACAATATGGGAGGAAATATTAATATTGCAAATCAGATATCTGGTAAGGCACTGTTATACAGAATATAGAAAGAATTCATACAGATTACACAACTGGTGTGACTGCGCCATGTTCAGCCAGAGAAGGAGAAGTTAAGCTCCATTTGTGTACAATGTGTCAAATGCATTCTAATGTTATGTATAACTAATTGGAACAAATTTTTTAAAAAGAACTCATACAACTTTAAAACAAAACAACAAACAAGATTTCTCCATAGATATACTAAAGAGACACTAAGCACATGAAAAGATACTTAAGATTATTTGCCATCAGGGGAATGAAAAGCAAAACTACAATAAGCTATAATTTCATAAACACTAAGATGCGTATAATCAAAAAGACAGATAAATGTTAGCAAGAATATGGAGAATCATAACCTCCATAATCTGCTCAAAAATTTAAACAGAATTACCATACAATTCCATTTCTAGGTATATACCTAAAAGAACTAAAAACATACCTGCACAAAATCTTGTACAAAGATGTTTATAGAATTATTCAAAGTAGCCAAAAAGTGGAAACAACCCAAATATTCATCAACTGAGGAAGCATGAACAAAATGTGGTATGTTCATATAATGGCATACTATTCATCAATTAAAAAAGAATGGGACTGGAGAGGCTCAGTGATAGAGCACTTTTGCCTCTGTGAGGCCATGGGTTTTATTCCCAGCACCATCCTTCCCAAAAAGAGAAGGAATGAAGTAATGATACATAGTCATGGATGAACCCTGAAAACATTATGTTACCTGAAAGAAGCCAGGTACAAAAGGACAACTAGTATATGAATCTATTTACTTCAAATGACAAGAAAAGGAAAATACATACATGCAGAAAGTAGATTAGCAGTTACAAGGAGGCATATTCTAAAGACTATAATGGGTACAGGATTTCTTTTGGAAGTGAAGAAATGTTCTGGAACTAGATAGTAGTGATGTGTGTACAGCTTTCTAAATACACTAAAAAACATTGGAATTTATAAAGTAAAAGGATGCATTTTATGGTATGTGAATTATATCTAAGTAAGAAAAAAACCAAACCAATAATCTATCCATACAATGGATACACTATATTTAAATTGTCCTTTTTAGTTATAACCATATTTTACACACACAATGATCATAAATAGGCTGATGTTCATTTAAAAAAAAACTAAAAAGAATTAAAATGCTGGTTTGCTGTAACTATAGGTGATCTCTTTTTAAATATTTTTGAATTTCCATATAATCTTTAATAACCACTGCCTTTTGTAAGTTGCGGGGAGGGGGAATCTTTATTTGCAACAAACAACAAAGTATTGATCTCCCAGGGCTATAATTAAAAATTCCTTAGCTTACAATTCAAAGATCTCACTCACATCGTCCCCAATACATCTTCCTTTTCCCTACAGAAGTGAAATAAGGACTCCCTCCTTCCGGAAACACGATGTCCTCTATTTTCAGACACCTCCAGCTCCTGCTTTTCACTCTCCACTCCAGCAGTTTCCTCTACTCAATCCCCTCCTTCTCATCCCCCTTAACAGTTAAATGTTAATGTCCCGCAGGACTCTAACCAGGCCTATACCCAGGGCTACTAGAACCCCACCCGCCCATCAGGACTAGAGCACAGGAATCCTCTAAGGTTTCTACCACTCTCTTGGGACTCCGAGACACCTCCAGCCTGAGAGTGCAAAGTGGGCAAAAGACTGCGAGAAGCCCGCAGTCTTCCGTGGACAGGCGCTGAGACCGCCAAGCAAGAGACCAGGCTGCAAAGGGACTGGAAAGGTACTGGCAAGGGCCCCACGCGCGAACGAGACTAGGGAATGAAGAACATCCTGGGCCCCCTCCGCTAGCCCAGGGCAGGGGGCGTCCTGCGCATCGGCCCCGCCAGCTCAGAGAGAGACGTCCCAGCGAGCCTGCGGGGCCCACACAGACAGCTGCGCGGCGCCGGCAGCGGCACGGACAGTGTGAGAAAGAGGGACACTCACCCGCGTCAGCCTAGAGCCCTCACTGCACCGGAAGTAGTCACCCGCCCGTTGCCAGGGTGAGGAAGCGGGAGTGACGTTCAGCCTTCCCATTGGTCGCTACCAGTACCACGTGGCCCGGAAGCAGCTGCACCACGCGCTGCTCTGATTCCGTCTTCTGGTCAACAGCGGCTCACCTGGCCTCAGAAGTGCGATCTGAGCTCCGCTTTGGGCCGCGTTTTTTTGAGGTGCGCAGGCGCCGTTCTGTACGTCTCTCCTGACTACGCTCCAAGATTAAAACTTGCAGGCCTGTGTGTGTGTGTGTGTGTGTGTGTGTATGTGAGTAGAGTGGTTATCTGATTAACTCTATGATAGGAAGTGAAATTAAACTGACCATCATTAATTGAGGTGTCACTTAAGAACTCCGTTTTTCCCCATTTTTGCAGCCTACTTATACAGTACGGGAAAGTAAAGTACCGCTGAATTGCGGATGAAAGGAGGGAGTCAACCTTGCCCTAGGGAAAGGAAGGGGTGGGTGGCCTTAATTTACTGTCTAGAGTCTAATACTAAGACTCAGTAACATTTGTATAATCCAATTAATGTTTCTTTGTAACTACAAGCATGAATGTTTTTAACATGTAGCCACCTTGAAGTTTGTCTTGGTGAAGCAGAGTTTGGAATGAGTGTTGGGACTGTCAGGCTGTGTCCTCCTGTTCCAAAGTGCTTGGGACTGCAAGTATTTTGGATTTCAGAATATTTTCATGTACATAATGAGACAATTTGGGATAGTACACAAATTTAAAGCCAAAATTCATTTATGTTTCATATATACCTTATGCATATATATATTATATATTACTTTAAATAATTTTATTCATAAAACAAAATTTCATAATGTGGAATAACTTACATGTGATGTCTTGTTGGTGTTCAAAAAAGTTAAGATTCTGAAACATTTCAGATTTCTGCTTTTTAGATAAGGGATGCCCAACATATACTTTTGTACGTGAGACCAGCAGCTTTAGCATCCTCTGTACTCTCACTAAAAAAAAAAAAAAAAAAAAAAAAAAAAAAATTCTTGGGCCCCATCTCAGACTTATCCAAATCAAAGATGTTGTGTCCTCCAAAAACCAAAAAAAAAATTAAAATTCTCTCTCTCTCTCTCTCTCTCTCTCTCTCTCTCTCTCTCTCTCTCTCTCTCTCCCCCCTCCCTCTCTCTCTGTCTCTCTCTCTAGGAAAAAAAAATAACTTTGGGTTTAGGACCCAATGATCTGTTTTAACAAGCTCTTTAGGTGATTCTGATGTACCCAAATTTTGAAAACTACTGAGCTAAACGGACTTCTGCTTAACCAAGTTATAGAAATGGGCTGGAGAAGGTGATACATACAGCTCCACTGAAGAGAGAGGAGAGACCAAGACTTTGATCCTTACACTGATCAAAAAGACACCAGGAAAGTAGTTTGGGACTGATATGGGAATGAGTCCCTGGAACTAATTTTCGTTCTGGTATTCCTAGATGAAAATATCTGCAAATTGTAAAGATTTCTCAACTACTAATAATCACAAAACTATATTTAATAATTTTTGTATTACCTGATGTTTTTCTGCTAATATTTTTCTCTATGAGCAATATATATATATATATATATATATATATATATATATATATAAAATAGTATATTGTGAAATTTATCAATAAAAACAAATTTATATTTCAAAGGGAATGTATTAAAATGGTTTAACTTTCAAAACAAAACAAAACAGTGTCCTCATACTTAAACCAAAAAAAAGATAGCAGGCACTGTGGAGGTTAACAGAAAGTCTTCTAGAGCCAAGAGAATCTGGGTTCATATCACAGTCCTGCCCCAGTTTTGTCCTCTTGAACACTTTTTCTGTGATTGAGTTTCTACATTTGTAAAGTGAGGATGATAATAGTATCTTTCAAAAAGTTGTGTGCAATAAATAAGTAAACATAAGAAGTACTTAGAAAAGTATTAGACCCTTAGTAGTATTTGTAATAGTTTGGATCTGTAATGTTCCCCAAAGGCTCTTGTGTTGAAGGGTTGGTCCCCAGCTTGTGGCACTATTGGAGCGGTATAGAAACTTAAGGAGGTGGAGCCTCATTGGAAGAAGTATCACTAGGGGTGTGCCCTTAAAAGATGTATTGAGACCTTGGCTGCTCCTTCCTCCTCCTCCTTCTCTCTCTCTCTCTCTCTCTCTCTCTCTCTCTGTGTGTGTGTGTGTGTGTGTGTCTTTCTGTGCCTCTCTCTCTTCCTGGACACCATAAGGTGAGCAGTTTTTCTTCACCAGGCCTTTCTGCCATAATATACTGTCCTCCAGAGGCCCAGAAACAGTGCCATATGACCATGGACTGAAACCTATGAGACTGTGAGCTAAAATAAATCTTTCCTCCTTTAAGTTGATTTTCTCAAGTATTTCATCACAGAAAGCTAACATAGTAATCAATTAATGTTACTTTTAAAAGACAAAATCTCCATTAATTCATTACCATGAAATGTGTAAAGAATCAAACTTCTTCTCAAATAAATGGCACACAAATATTTAATTTAAAAAATGTCCAGTTCTGGGAATAATTATTATTAAAATTGGGAAAATAAATTATCACTGTATTATTGGGAGGTGGATTCTGTATAAAATGTGGATTTATTCATTCAACAGATAATTAGACATTACACAAAATCGAGAGGTGCTGGAAAAATGAAAGTTTGAAAAGAGGATTGGAGGATAAAAAACATAGTCAATCCTGGAAGCCAAGCACACAGCCCCAAGATGGGACCACTAAGGTACAGGTATACCAGCCACAGGTGTACATATATAAAGACAAAAGAGGCAAAACTTGTCCTCAAGTACGGAGTTAGATGAAAGACATACTATCTACATAAATATATAATGCAGCCATTCTCAAAGGGTGGGCCAGAGTTGAGTATGAATCCCCAGATCATTTCAAGAGATCTTTGGTGATAAATTTACATTTTAAAATACTAATATGCTCATTTACCTTTTTTGTTCTCTCATGAAAGTAAAATGTTCAAAAAGTTCATAGATAGGAGTTCAAATTTCATATTGCAGCTAACCTTTGAGAAACTGACATTCGACAAGTTTTACTATGTCAAACAAGAATATTCAAAGTTATCCAATAAAGCTGTTAAAATACTCCTTCCTTTTCCACTTATAATTGTGAGAATGAGATTTCTTTATACTTCAACCAGCACAACATATCACATCAAATTGAATGCAGAAGCTGAAATGAATCCAGCTGGTTTCTTTAAGTGAATTTGCATAATGCAAAAAAATAACACTTCTCTCACATTTTGTTTTGGGTAAAATATATTTATTCTTCATTAAAATATATTATTTATGTTAGCATGTAATTGTCTCTTATATTTAATTTTTTTTACATTTCTGCTTTGAATATAATAAATATTGGTAGGAATAACCCACATAACAAAAGCATTGCCATACTCTCTTATTTTTTTAGGAGTATGAAGGTGTCCTGACACATGACAACTAAATGCAATAGGTTATCCTGGATTGGATTGTGGCTGAGGGAAAAAAAATGGTATAGAAGATTATTGAAGCATTTGGTATAATTTGAATGTAGATTGCATATTAGATAAGAACACTGAATCAGTGTTCAATTTCCTAATTTTGTTGAGTACATAGTACTTGATTATAAAAATGTCCTTTTTCTTTGCAATTATATTTTTAAAAGTTTAAAAGGGGAAAATTCTGTAATACATTCCCTTATGATTTTATAGTGGAGACAAAAATGATAAAGCAAATGTGACACATTAGCAATTGGTGATTTGGGCTGAAGGTTCTATGGGAATTTTTCTTAATGATCTTGCAAATTTGTGTGTGTGAATTTAGTAAAGATTAAAATTGGGTGGTGTGCATTGACACATACCTGTAATCCCCACTACTTGGGAGGCTAAGGCAAGGAAAATTACAAGTTCAAAGCCAGCTTGGGCATCTTAGTGAGACCCTATATCAAAATAAAATAAAATAAAATAAAAAGGGCTAGAGAGATAGCTTGTTGATAGAGCACTTTCCTAGCATTTGTGAAGCCCTGGGTTCAGTCCCTAGTACCCTTACCCCCCAAAGAAAATAACTAATTAAAAAGGACTTAGGGCTTGGGATGTAGCTCAGTTATGGAGTGCTTGCCTAGAATGCATGAGCCCCTAGTTCAATCCATAAACACACACACACACACACACACACACACGTCTTGAGACCAAAATGTTGGAAAAACATTGTAGTCACCCCCATTCATACGTAGCCTGGATTCCTAGTTTTATGAGGTAACGTGGAGGTTTTTTGTTTTGTTTCCCTGCTATTAACTTCAGGAAGGGAGAAATGGGGAAATTTATTGCATAGTAAATAGTAACAAGTTATTATTTAGCAATAGTAACTGAAGCAGATTTTGTTACCTAGAAGTGAGATGAATATCATAACAAAATAACAAAGTGAAGGATGTAACTTCAGCTTTAGGACCAGGTGAAGTAGCAAGGATGCCAAGGGAACCTAAAGGAGCATCTTAGCAGAAGTCTCAAAGGCATTCAGGAGGCTGTCGATGAGGGATTAAAGAGAGCTAAGCTAGAAACTGGAGGAAAATACCCTTGTTATGTAATACCAGAAAGTCTGACCCAGGCTTCTGAGGGACAGGGAGTAAACAAAAACCATTCCTATTGTCACTTTTCTGAATTACCCCCAGAATCCATGAGCATTAACAAAAAAGGGAGGGGGTTCCTTTGTGCCATTACATTGGGATTATTTTCTTACACAGCAATATTAATAGGCACAGACAGGAATGAAAGAAAAATGAAAGGATTTTAAACAAATACATATCTCCATTTCTGCTGAGAGCCATTGCCAAGTAGGAATGACACATGGCAATTTCTTTGTCAGCCTACCCAATGTTGCTTAGAGGAAGGACTCTCCATATTGACCCAGGTCATTTGCAGTGACATTGCATGTAAGGTGACCTTGCTCAAGGACCAGGGCGGATCCAGGTTTAGGGTGTATCCTGCTGGGATTAGGGAGTATCCCGCTCCTTGGGTTTAGGGCGGTTCCAGGTGTAAGGTGTACCCTGCTGGGAATAGGGCGTACTCTGCTGGGAATAGGGCGTATCCTGCTGCCTCAGGCACGCCCGCTCCTTGAGTTCCCCTTGAGTTCTCACTGGATTCAGAGAGTATTTGGGATTTTGCCCAGAATGTGATTTTGGCCCAGCACGTGTGTGTAAGTGCCAGTGACAGTTCGAGAATAAAGAGTTGCTGTTTGAATCTACAAGGTGTTTGGTGGCTCGTGATTTTGTGCCCAGCCAGACTGCGGCACATTTCTTTCTTTTTTTTTTTTTTCTTTTTCTCTTGCAGTACTGGGGATTGAACTCAGGGTCACTTTACCACTGAGTTACATCCTCATCCCTTTTTTTTCTTTTAATATTTAGTTTTTTAGTTGTAGTTGAACACAATACTTTTATTTTACTTATTTATTTTTATGTGGTACTGAGGATCGAACCCAGGGCCTCACACGTGCTAGGCAAGCACTCTACCACTGAGCCACAACCCCAGACCCACATCCTCATCCCTTTTTATTTTTATTTTAAGATGGTCTTGCTAAGTTTCCCAGGCTGGCCTCAAACTTGGATTCTCCAACCTCAGCCTCCTGAGTCACTAGGGTTATGCCACCCTGTCTGGCTTCCCTTCCATTTCTTGGACAACATCATAACCAACTGTGTTCTCAGAATTTATCTACATTTTAATAATCACCTCCCAATGCTGCTCTGCACACTTGCCATCCTCTGATGGCTTAATATGGTTAAGTAACAAAATTCTATCTAACCCCCATTCAGACTCAATTTTCAAATTTCTAACCTGTGTTAGATGCACTATATCTGGGTCTTATGAAATTAGGAATGAACAGTTATCTATCTAATCAACTCACTCAAAATATTAAATATGAAAGGTCTCTACTAGCAAATATCACTCAGGAAATATCTTGTTATCTCCCCCCTTCTTGTTGTCACTTAGTAGGCAGCTGAAAAAATTGCTTACCTTATCTCCAATAATGTCTAGGCTGGATATAGTGGCATACATGTATAGCCCCAGCAACTTAGGAGGCTGAGACAGGAAGATTGTGATTCCAATGCTTGCCCAGGCAACATAGTGAGACCCTGTCTCAAAATAAAAATTTTAAAAAGTTCTGAGGATGTAATTAGTGGCAGAGCACCACTGGGTTCAATCCCCATTACCACAAATGATGATGCTAATTATGATGGTGATGATGTCATCTGCTGCATCTCCATCCTTGTACCCTTGATCAGCCCCCTCTGTAATAGTTCTCTGGGAACCTCCATCCAGGTATTATATCCTGGAAAACACTATTTCAGTTAGCCTTCTGTATTTTTTCTAGCATTTATACTGTGTTAGATATTGTAAGTTATTTAAAGATGATTTAAAGTATACAGGAAGATGTGCACAGGTTAAATGCAAAAAGTATACCATTTTACATAAGGGACCTGAGCATCCTCAGATTTTTTTTTTATCTGATGGGGATAGGGGCACAATCCTGAAAGCAGTCTCTTAACACTATGTTAACATTTGTGCCAGAAATCCTACAAGATGATAGCATGGTATATTTGTTTTCAGTTACTGCATAACAAGTAACCACAAACTTAGTTGCTTAAAACAACACAAATTTCATCTTTCACAATTTGTGTGTGCATCTGTGTGTGTCTGTGTGTGTTTACTGGAAATTAATCGTAGGGGGACTCTACCACTGAACCTGCCCTTTTTATTTTGAGACAGGGTCTTGCTAAATTGCCCAGACTGGCTTCAAACTTGCCTTCCTCTTGCTGCAGCCTCCCAAGTAGGATTTCAGGTATGCACCACCACACTGGCTCATCTTTCACAATTTCTATGGGTCAACTATCCAGGTCTCTGCTCAGATCTTATAAGGCTGAAATTGGGGTATCAGGTAGGGCCACTGTTTCATGGGAATGCTCAGAGTCATTCGCCAGGCTGATGCAAGTAGTTGGTAGAATTCAGTCCCTTGCAGCTGTAGAACTCCTAGCAGCTTTGATCATCTTGAAGGTCAGCAGGCAAAAGCCTCTCTGACTTTTCTGCCTTCCAAGGGACTCACCTGATTAAGTCAGTCCCCATAGTATAAATTTCCCTTTTGATAAACATAAAGTTAATGATTAGTAGCCAAGTTTCAGGAGTGATATGTATTATGTTCAAGGGGAGAAGATCATGCAGGGTATATATAACCATCAAGGGTGGCAATTATCTTAGAACTTTACCTACTAAATGGATGAAAGAAAATTTCAACAATAGATGGACTACAACAATCCTATAAGCAAACCTATGTTAAACAGATGTTATCTTGGCTGCCCAGCATGAAAGCCTCCTTATTCTGTTAAGGGAACCACACTTCACTTTCATTGACTGCCTCATTATTTGCATGCAGTGTTAGCAAGACTGTCAGGTTGCTCCACATTTGCCTTACCAAGGGGTGGACAAGTGATTCATGCTAAGCCAAAGCTACTCCTTGCCAGAATTAGAATCTTGATAGGAATAACAAAAAGGATAAAAGCAGTTGATATTCATCCAACATAGCTACCAGATTCCCTTTGCTTTTCCAGTACTTGCCTTTTTCCAAAGTTTTCTTTAGTTTTTCTTTCAATTATATAAACTATTCCCTGTTCTTCCAACAAATTCCTTTCTTTTTCTGTAATTTGTAAAACTTTTAGTGGGAGAAATAAACCAAAGATTACTTGACTCCCACTTCAAGCCTTGATGATAACAAATGCATAGTCCTCAGAGTCCTAACAAAGACTGATAAGGCCAAAGATGGCCTTGACTGGCTGGCTGTCACATATTTGTCTGACTGTCATCGCCCCTCATTCATAGGGCAATACAAGTGAGTTTCCTGAGCAGCAACTGTCTTGCCTGTTTGTGATTTAACTTAGCATCTTTCTTTGCATCCTTATCACTTAACTTTTTATTGTACTATTTAAATAGTGCCACCTTTTCTCATAAAATAAGACTTTCTCATAAAAGGAGTGATTAAATGAGCCTGACTAAACCAGAAGCAATGTCAGCATTTTACTGCCTTTACCCTTTCAATCAAGCCCCTTCTGTCTCTTTCTCTAGTGCTCTCCCTGCTTTATCTCTGTCAGTAGAATGTAACCCCAGCTAACTGTTTATAATTTTTCCCACTTATTTTGATTGTTGATCAATGAGGACAGGGATCTAATTATATATTTTTTAACTGATGTTAAACCATAAATACAGAAAAGTTCATCTTGATGACACTTTAATAAAGTAAACATACACAGTAGATAGTTACTTCTCAGATCAAATTAAGAAATTATTACTTCACCCCAGGGTAATCTTGACTCTGACACAATACATCCATTTTCTCTGGCTTTAAACTTCATATAAACAAAATTTTATAATATGAACTCATGTTCATCAATATCATGCTTTGAGATTAGTCCATATTGTGGGTTCATTCTTATTCTTTGTGGTACATCATTGTGACTATTTATTCTCTACATTTAGGTGTTATCCAGTTTCGAGGTTGTTATGATTTGAATTGTGTCTCCCAGTAAAATATGTTGGTGTCCTACCCCCAGGTTCCTGTGACAAGGACAGAGTCTTTGCAGATATAATCAAGTTAAAATGAGGTCATCAGATTGGGCCTACAATTCAATATGACTAATGTTCATATAAGAAGAAGGAAATTTGGACACAGACACATAGAGAACACTATGTGACAACAGAGGCAAGGACTGGAATGAAGCAGGTAATCCAAGGAATTCCAGGGATATACAACCACCACCAGAAACTAGGAAGAGACTCTTGATTTGTGACTCTACTGATACCTTGAATTTAGACCCTGCCCCCCAGAACTATGACAGAATAAATTTCTCTTATTTTAAACCATTCAGTGTGTATCATAACAGCCTTAACAAACTAATATAGGGCTATTATATAGTGCTGCTGTGAATATTCTAGAGCATGTCTTTTGCTATTCCTATGTATACATTCTGTATACTCAATTCTAGAGGTTGACTAAGCTCAGGTGAGCAGTGTTGTCTTAGGGTCTCTCATGAGCATTTCTAGTTATATGGCAGCTGGGTTTGAAGTCCCCCCAAAGATTTCTTCACTAACATGTTTGAAGCCTGAGCTAGAATAGCTAGAAAATTGGGGGGTTGGTTGGGCATATCTCCCCCTCCCCATCTCTCCCTCCCTCCCCATGCAGACTCTTCATATGACTTGGGCTTCCTCATAATCTGGAGGCCAAGCATAGTTGGACTTCTTACATGGCAGCTGACTTTTCCCAACATGAGCATTCTAAGAAAAAATAATTGAAAATTGACAGTTTTCTTAAAATGGACTGAAAATTTGCAGTGTCACTCATACCACATGAAATTCAAGTCAAAGACCAACTTAGATTTAAAGGGATGAAAAAGGTGCCCACCTGTTGATGGGAGGAGTAGCATGGATCTACAGGGAGGAAAGAATCAATAGTGATATTCTTAGAGACAAACTGCCATACTCAATAAGGGTTTAACAGTTGCATGTTGTTGGGTGTGGTAGCACATGCCTGTAATTCCAGTGACTTGGGAGGTGGAGGCAGGAGGATTGCAAGTTTGAAGCCAGCCTCAGAAATTTAGCAAGACCCTATCTCAAAAAAAGTAAAAAGTACTGGAGATGTAGCTTAGTGGTAAAGCATACCTGGGTGCAATTCCAGTATTTTAAAAAAATGTTACATATGACCAAGATCCCTTTGATTAAGTATAAAGAAAAATATGATCTTATTAAAAAGATGTGGGTAGCTTACAAAATCAAAGGGAAAACTCACAGAAAAGATAGGAGTCAGAGAAGTTCAAGCTATGCAGCTCATACTAATGGACAGGCTTTTCAAGAAAAAACATCAGGATTAATCAGCTTAATCTGTTTCTGGTACTTGTCTCACTGCTCAAGATTCAAATTCTAAGGTGAAAATATTTACAGCATAAGTTGGATAACGTGTTCAAATCTCATCCAAAAGAACATAATCCCAATAAAACTGCATAAAATGGGAGAAGATCATTTAGAGACTTTCCAAGAGCAAGAACTATAATGCTAGGCTGCATAGGCAGAAAACACTTATTTTCCAGGATGTTCTGTGTGTAAATTTGCCTAAAATTAGAGGTCTGGTCAGAATTTTCCCCCTGCCTATAATTTTATTTTCCAAACACCTGCCTATGCTATATTGTCTATTTCTGTGATTTTAATGCAGTTTTCAGCAAACTTACAACATATAATTTGGAATTATTAGCCCTCATTATTTTATGTAGCTTAGAACTAATAACATTTCTTCATCTTTTAGTCTATTTATAAGGAAGAGTACACCTGATAGCATTTGGGGAAAATAATAATCAACTTCTTTTCTAATGTTTCTCTTAAGTGTGAGGATGACACTGAAGGGAAATAATTTGTATATTAAAATAATATGTTTTTAACTTTTATTTGGAAAATTTCAAATATACAAAATATAAATGAAGAGAGGATAGTATGATGGAATTCTGTGTTCCGATCACCAATTAACCTGTAGTCTATTTGGTTTTATTCAGCTGCCCTCACTTTGTTAGCAGATGTCTCTGGTGCCCAGATCACATCTTAACTGTCTCTGGCTTCAGGCCTGGCAGGCTGCTCCAGCTTGCACTGACTGTCAGCTTTATTGTCTTTCTGTTTCCTGGCCCAGGACTATCACCTATTTGCAGTAGTTTGCTCAATGTTGGATGCCTTTGCTCAATGCCCATGCACAGCCTGGAGGTGCATGAAAGTTAACATTTTCCCAAAGTCAACTTCTACCAAAGAGGGGTTTAAAGTTCCAGCCATCTGTCAGGCCAGTTCTGAGAGGCTCCTGTCAACTTCTCACAGTTCTCAGGCTATTGAGTTCCTGCACAATCAATGCAGGATCCTTACATTGACTTTTCCTTCCTCCCTACATTACCCTTTACATCTCACATTTGCTTCCTATAGCTACCGCACCCCCCCCCCCAAAAAAAAAAAAACTCCCTGCATCTAAGTTCCTGTCTCAGGGTCTATATTTAGGTGGACTCGAGCTATGATTGGCATCTTCTTAACCAATCATAAATTTTGGTTACCATGAAAATCCAGTATTCAGGGCTGGGGCTATAGCTCAGTGGTAGAATGCTTGCCTAACATGTGTGAGGCACTGGGTTCAATTCTCAGCACCACATACAAATAAACAAATAAAATAAACATCAACATCTAAAAAAATTTAAATCCAATATTCATCCAGCTATTTGTGAGGCTGAAGCAGGAGAATCACCAGACTCTGCAACTTAGCAAGACTGTGTCTCAAAACGAAAAAAAATATATAAAGAGGATGAGGACAGCGATATAGCTCAGTGGCAGAGCATTTGACTAACACGTGTAAGGCCCTAGGTTCAATCTCCAATACCTCAAAAACAAACAAAAAACAAATCTAATGTTCATTTACATGATGCTCATTTTGTAGACAAGACTCATTTTTCAAGATGCTATCCAATGGCATTAGAGCAGATTATGCTAAGTGAAGCTAGCCTATCCCTAAAAAACAAATGCCAAATGTCTTCTTTGATATAAGGAGAGTAACTAAGAACAGAGTAGGGTTGAAGAGCATGAGAAGAAGATTAACATTAAACAGGGATGAGAGGTGGGAGGGAAAGGGAGAGAGAAGGGAAATTGCATGGAAATGGAAGGAGACCCTCAGGGTTATACAAAAGTACATACAAGAGGAAGTGAGGGGAAAGGGAAAAATAATACAAGGGGGACAAATGAATGACAGTAGAGGGGGCAGAGAGAGAAGAGGGGAGGGGAGGGGAGGGGAGGGGGGATAGTAGAGGATAGGAAAGGCAGCAGCACACAACAGACACTAGTATGGCAATATGTAAATCAATGGATGTGTAACTGATGTGATTCTGCAATCTGTATATGGGGTAAAAATGGGAGCTCATAACCCACTTGAATCAAAGGGTGAAATATGATATATCAAGAACTATGAAAAAAATTACCCTTTTCTGAATTTTGGTATAATTTGTTAGAATTATATTAAAAATAAATGATCATAGATCCTAAATTAAAAAAAAAGATGCTATCCAATGTGAATAACTGCTGTAGAGATGTTAGTAGCAGTATTATTCTGCTTTTGTAGAGAAATGAGTAGCATTCTCTTTCAATATTCTTAATGATAAAAAAAAATTCTGAGATCCCCCAAATTTAATGCCAAAGCCCAAAGGATGGGAGTGGGGTAGGGGAAGAGCTAAGGGAAGTTAATCAGTTAATGGCTACAGGGAAAACCAACAAAAGAAAGCTTGACTTAAATCCCATCACTCACAGGCACCAGTACCACCTCACCCTGTTCATATATAAATAGGACTGTTCAGAACTGTTAACCCCACCCAATCCAGAATCAACTAATGTCTCTCTTTTTGAACCCCCTTTCCATCCCAAAGCTTTCCCCACTTGGCATAATCCCATCCCTGTTATCTATTGCCAATACAGGTTTGATGTAAATGACATATGTCTTCCCTCCCCAGATTTTCATTATAAAATGTTCTTAGTTCTGGTACAGTGGATATTTTTCCAACTTTTATCTAGCCTTGCTGCCGGTAGTTCATGGAATCTTGTCCTAGGACCTGGTCCTTTTTCTGGCTAGCATCTATCACAACTTAATATTATTGCAGAGATCTCTCAGGTCTCAAAAGTTTTGGTTTAATACTGCTTAACTGAAAAGGAGGAAAGAAGAGTGGAATAGAGAAAGGGAAGGAGGGAAGAAAAAGAGGAAGGGAAGGAAGAATAGGAGAGAGGAGGAGAGAGGAAGGAAGGGAGGGAGGGAAATTAATGAGCTGTTCTTTCTGACAGTTTTTACTACAAAACTCAAGTGTACTTTAGAAGCTGAACATAAATAACTTCACTCACCCAAACTGAATTCAAAGCTTTACTTCTAAATCCTGTACTGCAGCCATTCTAACCCATGGGTACTCTTAAGAGGTGTTAGTAAGTGAATTGGCTGAGAGCACATTGAGACCTGGGAACACACTGAGGCCCCCATGCAAGCTGAGCCCAGAGGTCCTAGAACTATCATAGCCTAATGTCTCTAATGGGAAACAGGTGCTTCCAACTGTCACTTACCATCATTGTGCTCACTGAATGTTTTCAGTCCTGGCTCCTTCTAGACCCATCCAGCTGTATAAACAAACTTTTATCCACAAGCTTGACTATGTGAGCAGCCAAATCTGTCTTCTTTTCTCTTAAGAGAGCCTGACTGTGTTGATTCCAAGGTTTAACTTATTAGAATAACAATTAAACTCAGGTGGATTTTTTTCCTCCTTTTCCTTTCCTTTGTAATTTTTAGCTTCTAATTTCTTTATTATCAGGATACCTGCAGTGGTATTAGCTAGTAGCTAATCTATTGATATTGGAGTAACAGATATCTGTTTGAATTAAGAATACATTAAAGAGAGATGGAGAGTCAAGGTGGGAGATCCTGGATGCTTGCAATCCAGAGGTAACCTTGTGTGCTTGGAAATAGCGCTTCACCTGTTTGGGTCTCATTTTCTTTTACAGGTGAAATGAAGGATTAGATTTAGCTGATCTCTAAAAAAAACTTTCTCATTTCTAATATTTTATATAATTTGTCATTTTTATGGATTGTATACACATCCTTTCCTTTTTAAAAAATATTTAATTTTTTTAGTTATAAATGGACATATACCTTTATTTATTTATTTATTTTTATGTGGTGCTAAGTATCGAACCCAGTGCCTCACACATGCTAGGCAAGCGCTCTACTATTGAGCCCCAACCCAAGCCCCCATATTCTTTCCTTTGACAAATATTTTCTGATCATCTATTATGTACATAGCAATATGATTATGCACTTACAA